GGAGTTCCCAGGGTGCTGGTGCTTTCCTGGGCAGGTGAGGACCAAGTGGAGCTGCAGGGGGCCAAACTCAGGGTGAGGAGTTGGCAGCAGCCTGAGTCCCCAGACAGTGTGGGACACCTGGAGTCATCCACGTGGCAGTGACCAGGCTGGTGCCAAGGGCTGGGTGGGCTGCAGGAGTGTCCCCCTCTCCTCACCCCACCCTGACATTCCCCAGGGTCACACGGAAAGTCAGTGATGGGAAAGACCCCCATCCCCAAAACCTGCTCTTTTGGTTAAAGCCCTGAGCGTAAACTCCTGTGGCAAAAACGTCACCTTCCTTTTCCCATGTCAGCCCAGGATTTAGGCCTGTGTCAGATACCAGAATAATGCCATGTTCAGACACTGCCCCTTCTGCTTCCCCGTCCTTTACCTCAGCATCCCACAAAGAGATGCATAGTGAAGAATTGCACAAAATATCACTGTCCTGTGCTCATCACTTCTTAATTTGTTTGTTTTCCAGGAATCCTTTTTTTGGTGTTTTTCTGAAAGCACCACCTTCCTAGAGGGTGATTCTATGTGATTTTCCGCTCTGCTTTCTTTAAGAAATGGTTTCTAACCTGCCCTAGAAATGTTAAAGCAGCTTTGGGAACCTGAAAATGCAGGGAACTACGGAGCAAAAAAGAGAACATAAACTCTTTGTTCTCAGTATCTTGTGATCTTAAAGTGCTCGGGGTGTTCTCAAGGGTGTCAGGGCAAGGACAGAGCCACTCAGGGCAGCCACTGGTTCCTCTCTTCCAGCCCTCCTGCTCCAGCGAGGCAACACGTTTTATCCCCTTTTCTGTGATACAGTGTTCTAAAGATTTCTAAACTTTCCACAATTTCTAAATTTTCTTCTTTTCCCAAAAAAATCACACACAATTTTAAGCATTTGGACTAAAACTGAGTAATTTTGCTTTTGCCTTCAAAGTATCTCTTTTATAGTTTGTTGTTTTGTTTTTGTTTTTAAGATTCTGCTCAAATTCCCTTCCAATATTTAACTTCTGAATGCTTACTTACTCCTATTTTCATTTCTTTTTTGCTTTTCCCTTCATGCTTCTTCCCCATCTCGTTTCTAAAATGCAACTAACTGGGGCAAAATCCTCTTCTGAGCCACTTCTGCTGCTGCTGACATCGACAGCCCCATGGATGCTCCCAGCCCTGTGCTCCCCTCATCGGGGAAGGAGCCTGCAGAGTGTCCCAGCCCCCCTCCCATGTTCCTGACTCCCTGTGGGTACCTGTCCAGCTGTATCAAAATCACAGGACAGACACAGCCACGGGGACCCCATGGCAAATCCAGCCTTGGGTTGATAGGACCCCAAAAGGGCCCACACTCAAACATTGCACAGCAGATGGCCAGTGTCTCTTCATGTATTTATTGATTAACAGCAGCGTTTTAGATAAGTGAAGATCAGTTGCCTTTGAGGGCAGAAGTAACGTTGGCCTGAAGTGTCATTTGGTGTCGTGGGCATATGGCAAATCTTATTTGGGGGTTGCTTTCCTTCATGTGAGCCTCTGACATTTTATTTGCATTTCTAGAGGGCTTTAGCCCTGAGTTTCTATTTTAAGCCGGGAAAGCAGAGGGCAGCAGGGCTGGTGGTAGCTCAGGTTTCCCTGGGAAGCACACCCTGAGCTGGGAGGTTAATATTGATGACAGGAGCAGCACACGGGTGGGGATTTACAGCAAGAGTGAAAAAACCTCGGGAAACCAAGAAGCAAGTGAGAGGGGTGGACTCCTATCTCCAGACTGTCAGGTCAAGATGGGTATAAGCCAACAAGTTTCTGGGCACGATGAACACGGCAGCGTGTTGTTCAGCAGCCTGTGCAGCGCCCAGAGATCAAACAAAGTGATCTCCTCTGCCTTTAAAATGCATGAAGCTGCAAGATCTTAAGGGCAAATAAACTTACTTTGATTGCAGGGCTGGGACCTTGGAAGTCGCATTCCTTTAATTTCCTTGAGTTGGTTGCTTTCCCCGGGAAGGACATGTACAGGGAGGTGAGTTTTCAGTGGAAACTGGTTTTGCCTCATTTTCCACCTCTCTCCTGTTACAAGGAAAGAAGTGCCGAGCTCCGGAGGCCTGCCTGCCTCTTTCTATGCAGACAGAAAGGGCTGGGTGTCTGTGTTTAATTACAGCCTGAAAGAACTGCATTTAAAAGACAACAGCAAGCTATTTAATTAATACTTATCATTAGCACACATACGAATGCCTAGCAGCAAATTGCAACAACAAAGCAAGTCCTTCTTTATTTTTTTTCCTTGCACATGGGATAAATTTAAAAAAAAAAAAGTAAACAAATTATTTGCACGAGGTTTGAAATTAATTTTATGGAGTGAGAATACTGGGACAGTAGGTACCACTCCAGAAGAGCAGAGATGTCTAAAAGTAGAGGTGTGTAAGGGCAGGCTTCTCAATCTCCAGTTTTTCAATCTCCAGCTCTCCTGGCCAAGAAGCTTATCTTCATCCATCCATCTATCCATCTTTCTGTCTCAGCATTTACACTGGGCTCATCCCCATGTCTGAGCACCTACTTGTCTTCATACCTGTCCATAAATTACATGGCACCCCCAGGGCATTATAAATAATAATTCAACTCCCAAACCTTCAGAACACTGTTTTAAAGCACTGGTTTATAAATCACCATGTTGTGGACTCCTCCTCCCAGCCCATAAATGTGACACTGGAGCAGAGGGACATGGGCACCCCATCAGTGAAGTAATTGCCTCCAAACCAATTGGGGGGGGAGGTGGGCTGGGTGGCCACGAGTTGGGAGACGGGGATGGACATTGTGGCAAAGCAGAGGGGAAGGCTGGACTGCTCTGCTCACAAGAAATAGCATCCTCACTGGCAGCCAGGGATTTCATACTCCTCTCAGTTTTGTTCCAACCAGTACTGCAGTCAGCCAGTCACCCCCTGTACCCCTTTAATTAATAGCACTCTTACTGGCACTATTAATGACTGGAGTGATGAACCACAGCTTGGCTCTGCTGCTGAAGTCTCCATGGGACCCTACACCAGGTGACAACTGCAAGCTCGGAGGCAGATGGCTTAAAGGTAAACCCCACTTGTATCCAGACAGATCCCAAGACATTACTTTCTCCTCAAGATATATATGAGTTAGGAACATGTTGCAACCACGTTCCTCAGTGTGAAGGGTGTCCTGGGGGAACATGGGACCCCCATGGAGCCACTGGTTCATGGGCATCACTGTCTCCTGGATCATGTGTCAGATCTGCTTGTCGTGAGGGACCTGAAACTGGAATTTTTGCTGATGAAAAGTGTGATCAGTTGATGTATGAGATGAACTATTTGACAAGTCTGTCCTGGATTTGTGATCAGCTCTGGAAGGTGCAGAACTAATATATTGTTAAGACTGGGAGCATGTCGGGCTGCCAGAGCCTGCAGCCCTCCAACAGCATCGGGTGAGGAGAGACCACTTTTCTGCGTGCCTTTCCTCCCTCCGTTTTCCATCTCTTCCATCAAACCAAGCTGACCTTCCTTCTCAGCCAGAGACCCGAGGATGAGCGAGCAGAGCCCCGAGCACCTGTTCTGGGAACAGGGTGGGAGATCCCAGTGTGAGTGGCCACAGATGCCATGGTCCCCAAGCAGGTGGTGGGACACAGCATTCCCACAGGGCTAGGTTCATTCCCGTATCCCAGGCACTGGCCTGGCACGTGCAGCTGCTCATTTCCCTCTGTGGGAGCTCGGCACCCCCTGCAAGCTGAGCTTGTCTGTGCTCCCTCTGCCTTGGCTCCAGGCATGGAACAGGCTTTTCCTGCTGTGCTTCTGGCCCAGAGATGGCAGAGAGAGTTTTCATATTGTCATTTCCCAAAAAAATCTGATACCCCATTGGGGTATCCTCAGGGATGGTTGAGAATTAAACTTCTTTTCACCCTTCATGGGCATGGTCTGCAGCGAGGCCAGACCCTTTACCCATCCTACTGCTTCAGGGCACTGGGATGGGAGCATGGAATGTATTGGTCAGGCTTCCTGCTTGCAAAACACACCAGGACTTTGGCAGGCTGTGAGTCCAGCCCCACTCACCCCGTCCTTCCTGGTGTTTCCAGTGAGGGGTCCGGGTCTGGTCCCTTGCCCTCCTGTCTCCTCCTCCTACTCCAGTCCTGACCAGACAGCCAGGTTTGCAACCTCTTGCTTGGATGTGGAACTGGGTGAGATTCCAGGCCTCTCCCCTCTCACAGGGTGTCTTAAGCTATGATTAAGAGCTAAATTACAACTGGGCAGCCGTCTCTGGCTGAGAACCGCAAGATTTGGGGAGGCAGCTGTTAAAGGTGGTGGAGTCCACTGAGCATAACATCTGCATAAATGAGAAGGGGTCGTGGGGGTCGAATGGGATCAGGGGGTTTCTCAGTGGCACCCCCAGTGACGTGCTGCACCACCCCCCTTGCAAACCCATCCTTCAGGGCAGGGTTATTCATGAAGCTTAGGTTAAGCTGCTGCTTAAATAAGAGCTATTTTGCTGGTTTGGCTCTTAAAGAAGGGTGAGTGATGGCCTTATGAAGCATCATTCCTGGACCCCACCACCATTTTCCTCCCAGCTCCTTGCTCCATGCAAGTAGAGCTGTTTTAGCATTAAAAATGTCCAACTGCTGTGGTTTTTTGCATCATTTTCAACTAAGCTGTTTCCCTCACCCACATCAGTTGGGATGGGGCAGTCTCAACCCCCCATCCTGGAGAAGGCACAGGTCCCTCCTCTCCTGCAGGATTTCAGTGGGATGGAAGAAGGTGGCATAGGGCCGGTTGTGCCGGAGGGAGCCAAGGAAAAGGCTGCCTGGGTGCCAGCAAGGCAGCTTACAGCCCAGGCAAAGCTTCCCACTCTTCCCGCACATTCTGCAACATCCCAAGCTAAATCACTTCACAGAACTTACTTTTACCCCGTTAAATGCCACTAAACCTTCAAATTAATCCTCCCATTACAGGACTTCCTTTGATGTCGAAGGGGGAATTTTTTTTGATGGCAGAGGGGGATTTTTCCCCCCTGGTATAATTATTCCTATTTTTCTTTCCCCTTTTTTAGGCACAAGAGACTCCTGCCAGATGCACGACTTGTGGAGGCAGCTCCCACACAAGGTATTTATATATTTATATGTATATGATGGGAACGTGGTATTGAAAGAGCTGAAGTTTCAGGCAGAGCATGAGGGGAATTTCCCATTTCCTACTCGTTACAGTGGAAGTTGCCCAGGAAGAGTCTGCAGCAGGACTAGGACCAAAAGCTGCAAGATAAAGAACAATTTTCCAGTGCTGTGAGATAAGCATGTCCAGGGAAAACATCTGCTATTTAAGACTATTACTGAGTAAGTTTCAATGCCTGGGAATGATCCCTGCCACTGCCTAAATTACAGGGATGGGTAAAGTGGATTCGCCCCAGTCTTGCATGTGTTTTCCATTGAGCATCTTGGATGTTACTGGGATCACTGGGCTGAACATCCCAGCATGGAGCCAGAACCACTGGATAATGCTCAAGAAGCAATGGGTATTGCTAAGGAAGCTTTCTGTAACAGCCAGTAAAGATGGAACAGGCAGGTTTACTCAGAGTTTCTATTGGTTTATATGAATTATTAGGAAAAATGGGATACAATTGCAGAGCTCTTTACTGAAAATACTATGAAACAGTCCATATACTTGAATGGGGAAGTGTGTTCTTGCTAATAAATCATTGCGTGGAGGCTCCCAGCATAAAATGGGGGTTTCCTGGGAATGGAGAATGAGCCCTGGGAGGCATTGTCCAGTGTGCCCAGTAGCTCAGGTCTGTGTGACTGCCTTCCCCCTGATCTCCCGCTGCCCCAGGGGTGCAAACTGACCCCCCCTATGCCTCCCACTGCTGTGCCACGGCTCCAATCCGCTCCCGGAGCACCTGTGCCCAGTCCTGTCCCCGCTCCAGGGGAGTGGACCTGGTCTCCATCGCTGTTAGGGCAGTGATTTCAGGGGGAATCTGAGGAACCAGGCCAGCTCGGAGCACGGCATCCTGAAATTTGGCTGCGGAGGCTGGAGCTAAGCAACACCGGGGAATGCTGCAAAAGGAAGAAAAGCAAGAACATTTGGGATGTAAGCAAGCCCTGGCCAAGAGATCCTGCAGGAACAAGGAGATAGTGATGGTCCAGTCCCCAGCAGTCCCTCACCTGTCTGGTTGAGAGTAGTGGTAGTGAGCAGCCACGGCAGAGTGGGGGCACAGCAGGTACTGGTTTTCCTCCCAGCAGCGCCGCATGGCTCCAACAATATCCTCGTCGGAGGCTGAGCAGGATCGCAGGGTCTCGGAGAGCTGTGGGAATCAGGGAGGCTTGTTTTGCATGGGGCATCAGCCACAAGCACTCAGCAAAGCAATTCAAAATAGGGAGGCTGGAGGATGGGGTTCCCTGAGGCCCGAAGGAAGAGGGGTTGCTGCAGCACTGCTGGAAACAACTGTGGAGACGGAGTGTGAGCAAGGGGTTTCCATCCATGGGTGCTGTGAGCCTGGGTAGAAAGGAGCCAAGACTCAGCTCCTCAGCTCTTTGCTGCTATTTCCATGCTCTGAGGGACTTGTAAAACCCACCTCAGTGTAACAACTCCTCTTGCTTTTAATAGCACCATTATTTAGTATTTATCTTGCTGCAGTGCAAGCAGGAGCAGGAGCCAGGAAAGGATGCTCAGTGAGGGACAGTGCGTGGGAATTTGGATGGGAAGAGGCAGGGCTTTGTATCTGGCCCTCTCACAATTCAATTTTTTGTTCTGTCTTGTATCTCTCTCTGTGTTGTGCTCCCATTTGCCATAAGAGTGAGGCTGAATTGCAGCACCCAACTTATCAGACCCACTCCCAAACACTCAATTTGTGTTGAGCATCTCAATGTTGCAGCATCTGCTGCATGGTGCCTCAGTGCATGGCCGAGAATGGGGTGGTTTCAGATCCTAACTAAATAATTGTAGGCATTTTTTAAATTAGTTTTGCAAAGAAGAAAGAACTTTTTTTAAAAAAATAGAAATTTAAAAGCATTTTTTAACATCTCAGTGAACACACATTGATACAAAACTTCTCTTCTGGCCTCACACTTAAATTAACTTTCCACTATGATTTTTCAGTTCTGAAAATAAGTTGGAAACAGTAACTGTCCTTACACACACACACATACACAGTGTTGTGTCTGTTAGGAACTGACCCTTCTGTGCAAATCCTCCGGCAGCTTTAGGCTTTTCGACTGGCTGAATCGCTCCATCAGTGTTTTTATCAGGCGGCTGTCAGAGCCTGAGAGCAGCCACAGGATCCTCTCCACATTGTAAGGCTCCTGGGAAAACAAGGCAATAGGTGAGCAGTAGAAATTCAAGCATCTGTTTCAGGGGAAGAGCATCTGTGTGGATTCCCTGATGCCTCCCTAGGGCTGAGGTCCTACTGCTGTTTTTTTCTGGGTGGAGTGGACTTTTTGTCTTCCCTTTGCTCACCTACATCCCAAGAAGAGTCTTTGGGAACACGATGTCTTTTGGACCTTTGACCTGTCTGACAGTGACCATCAGATTAAAACCGAAAATGAAGGGATGACTGATGAATCAACGGTGTGACCGCATCTGTACAATCACCGTGATGAACCCAGGCTAATAACACACTGCACCGGGGAACCAGAAATATCCAGCTGTTTACTCGGCGTTGCAGATGCTGCTGTGAGTCACCCAGCTCCTGCCTGACTTAATGAGACACCCAGCTCCCTGCAGGGCTGGCTGATAATCTTTGTGAACTTATAGGGTACATATAGGGCCTGACTGGCCTGTATGGCTGTGTAGCAATCAGTGTTGCAACACTGCAGCAAGAGCTCTGTGCAAGACCATACAGGAGGGTCCCAAACCAATTTCTCTTCTCCCTGTCTCATCCCTGCATGTTTACAAGCACTAAGAAACATTCATCTCGTGGTTTGGTCAAGACACCTTTTAGGGACAGACAGGACAAGGGGCACCAACTTACAGAGTACTCATCACTCTCCTATGGTCAAGTGATGGGTTTGGTTGAACTCTTTTTTTGCCTGTGACCTTTTGTCACTCCATCCTGTTCTACCTTGGAGAGTCATCAGGTCTTACTCAGCCTTTTGTGTCCTTATCTGGGTGTCTCATGGCCCCAGTTCTGTCCTTCATCTTCCAACCATCACCTCCCAGAGCCTCTAATCTTCAGTCTAGTCTGGGTGTTGCCTGCCCTTTGCTTTAGGCTGTCCCCTCTTTTAGGCTCTCCTCTGCTTCCCACTCTGGCTGTCCTGAGAAGCTACATGTCAGTGTACCCTGGATGTCAACAACCTGCTCCTAGAAGTGCCTCCAGCATCATGCTCCCAACATCCCTTCTCCTGTCCTTCTTTCTGCTGCTCCCACATCCTTCACACATGCTTCCCCTTCACCCCCCAGTTCATGCCAGCCTTTTGGTTTTCACTACAGATCTCTTTGTTGACACCAGAAAGTCAAATTGGGCCAGGACACTGGTGCAAGTACTGGCCTTACCATCCAAGTAAGGCTTCTCCTTCTGTCCTGTGCCACTAGAGCTGTCCAGGAGAACTTTGGGGCCCAATTTGGAGGACAGGTCACGCTGGGGACAAAGTTTTGGCATGTGGACATGAGCTGTGTGGTGCTTCCTGACCTCAGGGTCAGACAACAGCTCCTGGTTGTCTTTAGGTGCTGCAAATACATGGCATCTGCTGTGATTCTCTTAGGATTGCTCCTTACAAGGCTGATCCACACCAGACTTCCTGCTTCACCTTCAGCTCTTCAGGCAGTGTCTAGTGGGAAAATTTTCTCTGCTTTACTTTAGGCTACAGAAGAGGCAACCTAAATAGGCTGTGCATTCTCCATCCTTGAAGGTTTCCAACACCCAAACGGAAAATCCCTGAGCAACCTGGTGTGACCTCAGGGCTGACCCTGCTTTAAACAGGCCCCAACTAGAGACTTACTAAATTCCTCTCAAAAAATGAATGATCTCTTATGCTATGGAAATATTTGCATGGATGCTTCAGATGTGAGATGAACAAGATGTCCCAGGCAGCTGTGGAGGGGATACACCCATCCAGCTCCCCAGAAACCTCAGGATATCACCTTGCCTGACTGCCTGCTGCCATAATCCCAAAGGCTGGCACTTGCCTGGGTGCCTCAGCAGAGCAGTGCTACTGAAAGGACATGGGCCCAGAGAGGAGCCCAGATACCCCTGGAGCTCTGAGGAGCACCCTAAGTTCTTGGCTTGGGAGGAAAGCCAAGCTGCAGAGCACAGCCTGGTGATAGAGGCATAGGGATTTAGTGACTGCAAAGCATGGCAGCCCCTCCAGGCTCCCAGGTCCTCCCAGGGCGTTTGAACAGCTTTTGGAAAATCCAGGTAGCTTAAGGCCACAGAGACACAACACCAAGGGTTTCCCTCTTTGATCACTTGTTTGGAAGCAGATCCAATCCCTGGGGATCACAGGGTAGGAATGAAACAGGAGGTATTTGCTTCCAGGTGTTTGGTTTCTGAACCTCCATGGCCTTTCTTTCTGAGGCCTTTGCCTGCCTGCTGAGACTTGTTTTGCTCTGAGCAAGCTGCAGACGACCATAAACGAGGCATTTCTTCTGGACTTCCCTACCTTCTTCCTGGTCTCTCCTCTTGGTGGAGCCTTTCAGAAGCATCAACAAAACCCCTGACATTTATAGCTGTGTAGCTGTCACATGTTGTGAAAGTGCCCCTCTCTTGCTAACCTTGCACAGGACAAAACCCCAGAAACCCAGCATTTAACAATGAAGATCACAAAGTCAAGCCCTGAAAAGTGAGGAGGAAGGTGTTTGATCTATCTCAGCAGCAAAAATGGTCAATAGGAGTCACACCTCTTAATGCACCACTAAGAGGCACTGCCAGTGGTAGAATTATGCAGGTAGATCAGAGTAAAACAACAAAAAAACCCCCTATATTTGCTATTTCCCCATTTCAACCAATTCACTACACACCTGAATATCCATGGCTGATGCTAAGGTAGCCTTCACGCTCCCTGCCAGTGAGAAATCTCCATGCTGGACAGTCCTGTGAATGATGTCATTGCTGTTCACCACGGCAACAAGTCGAATCGGGAGACCCATTTTCTGGGCAATACAGCCAGCTAAGAAAAAACAGTGAAAGAACACACGTGTGCTTGGTGAAGAAACATCCAAAGGAGGTTTAGCGAAGGAGTCATCGTGCAAATTGATTGAGCACCTGGCTCAGAAGCAGACACAAATGATATTCCCTAGTGGACTCTGAGATATCTGTCTCCAGAGGTTGGGTAGAGCACCAGATTGTAAAATCCAGGGATGCAATGCTCCACCTGCCACTGAACACTGACCCTTGGGCATCTCCACATTTGATGATGGATGGTTAGGGGACGAGAGGTCAGGCAGGTGCTGTGCAAGCAAGAGAGATGAGATTTTGGGCTTGTTAATGCTGCCTCAGATGGGCAGCCTGGAAGTGCAGTGAATATATCAAATCCTTTGTTGCTGTCGTAAGACAGTTCTGTGCTTATTTTGGGACAGAGGCAATCAAGGGCTCTCATTTAGAAGGCCAGATTATGCAATTAAGAGTGGTTCTCTTGACCACACACTACCATGCAAACCAGAGTAGGACCAGGCAGGACTCCACACCTTTGTTAATGTCTCACTTAAGAAATCAGAGCCACAGTATTTTCCCTCTTTTCTTCATCAAACACATTCTGTCCTCTCCTAATGTTCTCATCCTCAAGATAGCTACAGTCATCATCAAAGGGTGGTTTGGGTTTTTCTGCACCTTGTAAATCATCAGTGACACCTAAATTGAGTAATAAGCATACATGAGTAATAAAATATAAGTGGTTCTGAAGAAATCCTACCAGAGAGTGGGTGTTTTAATAAATAGCAATACCCAGTATCTGTGAAGTGCTTTTGGTCTATAGATCACAGCATTCTCTCTTTTATCTAACCTATCTTTTTCCCTTTACCTGTGATATTTCCTCCTCCTCCTGTTGGCACAACAATTTCCACCACTGGCAGCAGGATGGCATCCAGGGATGGGGTACACTGAAAGTAAGCATAGAAGTAGTGAGCAATCTGCACCATAATCCTAGACCAGTTGACGGAATTCAAGCTCATCAAATTGTATTTTCTGGCAAAATCGTCATCAGCGAACAGCTCCTTGATCGGCTCATCAATTTCATCGCTGTTCCCGTGAGCTGTCAAAAGCAGAAAGGAAAGATTAGATCTGCCAACAGCAGTGCATCAGGCACAAGGTATTTCTCCTCAGAAATAGGGATGGTCTGAAGCCCTGGGGTTTGCTGTGGCCCATCTGCCTCAGGGGCTGAGTGGCACCCTGTGGATGTCAGGTGGTTTCTGCAGGCGTGGCACTCTGGGCTCCTGCTTGTACCAAATATACATTTGCCAAATATGTATTTCCCCTTGTGAGATGCCAAGGTGAGACCTGGTTCAGCAGAAGAGTCCATGGGAACTCAAGCAGCTCAAGCACCCAGTGGTGATGCCAGCCCATGGGGACAGCAAGGTGGTAGGGGATGGATCACACACGAAGGTGAATGGGCAGAGGAAGAGGTAACTCCAAATCCTTTTAGTGTCAAGGAACGGTGCTGAACTCAGTGTAGCCAAACACCAACTGCCTGCATGGAGGCAGCTCTGATCTGTGGCCAGGAGACAAAGAAGTCTTGAATAACTTAATCATCAAACTGGGGATGTTGTCTCCTGTTAGCCAGATGTCTGGGCGTGGTGATGGCAATGACCTGGCTGGCTGCAGCTGCTAAAGCTGCAAATCCCACTGAGCATCTGCCTGAGACTTTAAGGGTCATGGTTTTGACACAGCAGGGCTGTAAAATGGACAGTCCAACAGCAGTGCCAACCAGCAAAGACGTGGACGTTGTCTTCGATGACGGTGGTCATCTGAAGTTCCTGTATCTGGGTGCAGAGCCCCTTGGGCAGCAGAACAAAGATGTCCATGTTCTTCTGCCCTCTCACACTCTCGATGGCCGAGCTCCCAGTGTCCCCTGAAGTCCCTATTTCAAAGTGAGGAAGCACCAAGAAAAGAAAAAAATTGATGCATCAGTCAAACCTGCATTGCTGCACTTTAAGAAAAGACACAGAGATGCTCCATGAGATGTTCTTGACTAGAGAAGCCACCCTGGCATTGCCTGGAGATCACTCACCAGTCACCAATGAGGCAATACCACCCTGGGGCATCTGTGGGGAGGGCTGTGGGATGGTGGCTCTCAAGGTAAGGGCCTGCCCAGAAATGTACCCCCCACAAAGAGACATACTCACCCACCAGAATAGTGATGTGCTTCTGCTTTTTCTCCAAGAAGTATTGCAAAAACTGCCCTGTGCAGGACAAGGACAGATCCTTAAATGCATAAGTAACCCCGTGCCAGAGCTCCAAAACGTTCAGCCCGTCTTTCAGCCTGGATAAATGGACAACATCCTTGTGCCTGAACCTGCTGAAGGCCCTGTCGATCAGGTCTAGAGGGAAAATGGTTAAAGGAGCTGTTAGACTGAGTGTTTTTCTGACTCATGGCTTCCTGCATCTGTGTTCTTTGTGCTCCTGGTACCTTTCTGCACAACTAAAGACTCTCAGTTACTGGAGCAGTGACAGACATCCAACAAGTTATTAGTAGTTACTAGGAATAAACCAGCCCAGCTTCGTGGTGTTTGATAACTCTATGCCAAGTAACCCCAGGGCACACTCTACACAATCAGAGAAAAATGTGCTAAAATATAAAATGCAGGAAACCTGAGTTTTAGCTCTGTGTGCCATTGAGGCAGAGGTTGCAGCTGCCCTCTGGTGGAGGTGACAGCTCTCAAATGCTGTAAAACTTTAAAAATGTGTTTTCAAGGAGAGTGTGGAGCAACAGGAAGCCCTGGAGGGAGGGCAAGTCTGGAGCCCAGTGGAGCAGCAGGGTGACCCAGCAGCAAGCAGGGTCACAGCATCAGCCCTCACAACTGAAGTCCCCAGAATCCCTAATTGCACACAGGGAACACCTTTTCCTGCAAGGTGACAGAGATCAGGCTACAGAAAGAAGCAGGCAATGGTGCAGCAGGCTCCATCCTCTGGGGGTCGCAAGGGGAGGTGGTGAAGGCAGGCAGGTGCATCTGAACACCCTAAAATCCTCACACACATCCCCGCGAGCTGCTCCCTGCGTGGCTGCGCTCACCACTGAGTGTGTTCCGTGGGACCAGGTCAGCTGGGATGAAGAGGGAGCACAGCTCCTTGACCAGCCCACGGTAGCAGAGGCTGCTCCAGCGCCACAGGGTGTCCCTGTCCAGCGAGGGGATGTTCTGGGGCATGAACAGGCCCCCATCGGGTGCGTAGCCAGAGAAAAGGGCTCCCTCGAAGTCCACGGCCCTCGTGCCTCCCCGTGTGCTGATGTACTCCATGGCTGCTGGGGAAAGACTGCTGTCACTGCCAGGGACCCAGAACAGCCCCCTCAACTCCCTCAAAAACTTCCCCTACGGGCACGTAGAGATCCTCAGGGAACAAACCACCTCATCCCAGAAAAAGTCACCGGGAGCTGGAGCAGCGGGGCCACTGTGGGGCACGTGGCATTTTGCAGGTGGTGGAAAGGCTGCCTGGGATTTGTGCCAAGGTGGCTGGAGCCTCCTCGTCTCGCTTTCCCTTCACCCTTCCCACCCTGCCCCGGACACACTTCCCGCCTGAGGAAAAGCCCTGACTGTGCAGAAGCCGCTGCACAGGCACGTCATGTCCCTCGTGGGCTGTTTGCCAAAGCTGCAGGTTCTTTTTTTTTTTTTTTTTTTTTTAAAAAAAAAAGGGAAATGACTATGTTTTTAGAGCAGGCCAATTCTGTTCAAAGGGGTTAAACTAAGGACAGGATCTGACTCAGTGCAGGAAGGGCTGAGCTAAATCCTCCGTGTTCACGCAAATCCCACCGAGCAGCCGCCGGCGCTGCTGGAAGAGGCAATTTTCCCACCCCAACCCCGTGAACTCCCACAGCCGTTCCCACCTCGGGCAGTTGGGCCAACGCTGCAACCCCTCGGCAAGGGATAGATGGCAGGAGAGTGAACAAACAACCTGCTGCCACTGCTTCCAACCCCGTCATCCTTTGCACTTGTGCTCACGGAAAAATTGTCCCCGTTGCAACCTGACGGTGTTCCCTGTGGAGCAGCCAGCAGAGGCAGCTTCCCTGCACCGAGCCTGGGAACGGGAATGTGCTACAGCTCAGGAGAAATATAGTTAAATATTAGGAGAGAGCTTTTAACATGAGGGTGATCAAGCACAGGACACAGAGAGCTTGTTGTCACCAGTATAACCCCAGAGACACTCCAGCCGAGGAAACACATTGATCTAACTGTGATCTTGGATTTCAATTTGAGATTGAACCTGCTTAAAAGAGGTTCTGGGTCAGAAATATCCTTGCAACAAAGATCAGTCTGTAACTCAGCTTTGCTGTGCAAAGGTAGGTGCTCAACCTCCTAACACCCTGTCCAACCGATGGGGAAACTGAGGCATGAAAGGGAGATGGGACATGTGCGGAGCTGTGCAAAAAAAAAATCAGTTCTCCTTTGCAGGGAAGGGCTGTGCATGCCTTTTCTTCTTTTTGTTTTAATATAATCCGTGCTTTTTGAAGGGAAAAGTTGACACAGTGGCTGCACAGACCCAGGGTGCAGCTCAGTGTGTGCTGCTGGAGCCTGAGTGGGGACTTCAACCCAGGCAGGTAAGGTGTGGAGGTACAAGGGGTGGCTGATAACAGCCTGCCATGACCCAGAGAGCTCATGTCTGCAGCAGGGGACACATTGCCTGCCAAAGCATTGGAGTCTGGCACATTACACTGCCTCTCTAACTCTGGGGAGTAACTGGGGCCACAAGAAAAGTTTCCAGAAGAGGGTGGTCCAGTCCTTGCCCTGAGCACTGACACAGAAACAGGCTTTTCTACACCCACCATCCCAAAGGGCTGCTTCTGCAAGCTCCTCAGTGGGAGTCATCAAAGTTTCCCAAGGTCATCTGGCCATCTGATGTCTCCAGACCAGAGCCTCAGCTCCTCATCATGCTCCAGTGGTAGCTGACACAAAAAACTGCAAGTAGCACCTCTGGAAAAAACAGTGAAATATTAGAAATAAAGGAAATACTAAAAGCTGCAGGATACATGGTTTGTCTCCTCTACTCTGACCTCTCCCCTCTCCTACAACAGTGTGCCAAGATGAATTTTGGATTTTCCTTCGCTGCCCACAGAGAGACAGAGCACACTTAGAGTTCAACTCAGATTTAGGCTAGAACAAAGAAAGAATCATATCCATAGGAAAGGCTGCATAAGCTGATAGTTCTTATTACCAGTGCAATAATTTAATATCACCAATGTGTGTCTGATCATCTCTGCAAAGGTCACCTATCACATTTCAATGAGACCTGACCTATTCCCACCACCATGGGACATTATGGCTCTGGGCATTTACTTACCATATGTCCAGTTCTTTTAATGTGTGTTTTAGCACAGCTAAAGAGATGACTTCACTTATTCAGCTAATTTTTTTTTCAAGTGAAGAGTTTATGATGAGACTGATGATCCCTTCAGCCTTACATTCGTCTGGGATACAGGAACCCTGCAAGAAATGGGTTATACCAGGATACCTGCTGTCCTGCAGCAGGGCTGTTGCCACAAGCCTGTTTATGGCCTGGGCCTATCAGCACTGATAACCCTCACTAACAGGGTCAGCGGTTCATGCTGGGATGCAGAGAGTGCTGATGTGGCAGCCACAAGTGAACTCAGAACACAGGGGGAGTGCCTGGGACACTCACTGGGATGACAGTAACATTTAGTGGGAGGGTTTTTCCCATGCTCAGCCCTGAAATTTCCATGCATTCAGGTTTAGAGTGGCATTTCATTTTAGATGGAGCTCTGAGCCACCTGGTCCAGTGAAAGGTAGTTGTAACAAGATGATCTTCAAGGTTGCTCCAACCCAGGCAATTCTATGATTCTATGATTCATTCTATGATTCTTTAATATTATTTTGAACTTTAAAAGAAAGGAGGAGAAGAGAGTGGCCATGCACACCAGCCTGTCAGGACTCATCCACCACAGCAACAGATCAAGAGTTGGAAAATGTAATAGCCTTTAATTAACCCGGTCTTACTCAGTGCCTCCATATTCCTGCTGGGATTAGCACTTCCACTTTGGACCTTGTCTGTTCCTGAGCAACTCATGCTCTTTGGACTCGTGTGTCAGGAATCATTTGTATTTGCAAACCCCAGCTAAGGCTGCTGTCAGACTTTTTCAACTTTTTTTTTTTTGTAGTACATCGGTTTTCTCAAATCTTCGTTCACGAAGCCTAGCCATGATGATGACATCGGTTTTCATCCCTCCAGACAGAATTTTCTCAACCTCTTCACCTTCCAAAGGCATCCAAAAGGATGAGGAAGCAGAAGGGCACATATAACAGCAAGAAGGCCGTTTTTTCCTGCACAAATTCCCGTAAAATTTCAGGTCTCAGGCCCGAGTGTTGCAGCACACAAAGAAAAGCACGACAACACTCTCAGCTTCGTGTTTTGTGAGCCGCTTTTCCATCCTCTCCAGCAACGGGCAACCCCTACGTGTCCCAAGCACAGGCAACGCTTTGGGTTGGGGTGCCCTGCCCATTCCCCCCGCGGAGCATCCCCGGGAGCGCTCGGGATCAGGGGCTCTGCCGGTGAATCCCATGTCACTAGATGGCGGCAGTGCCTTGTGTCCAAGGAGGAGATGCAGAAATGCTGCCTCGGAAGCCTCTCCCTGCTCCCCCACCCAGCCTTTCCCACCCTCCCACAGCTGCCTCCACCCCTCGGGCCACGGGCATCCAGCAATCCCAAAAGCAGCTGGGAAACACCTCACCAAAGAGACATATTTTGGAGCTGAGGAAGAGGAGGCAAGGGCGAAGTTCTGGGGAAGGAGGTCAGGCTACAAAGCTGAGAGGCCTGAGCCGACAGATCAGTTTTTGTCACCCTCCTTTCAGCAGGATCTCTCCTACCCCGGGGAGACATTCAGAAAGGGGCACACAGAAGGGACCTCACCTTTCAGTCAAGTCCAGAATGCACCAAATTCTATAAAAAAGCATCGCATAACCCTGCACAGAAATCTCCCCGTATCTCCCAGTCCTGTCTCTACCCACAAGGTGTCTGGGGTCTGAAAACTACACACTAGTAAAAGCTTCCAGACCTATAAGTGACCCAGGTGGCACCAGGTAGGTTCAGTAAGGGGGTGATAAGGATATCTGGGGTTTTGTGATGCCATTTACTACCCTATATAGAGTACATCCCAGTGGAAAGTGTGTTATGTTGGCTGAGAAAAATATATAAGCTTATTACACAGGCTTGTTGAAGAAGTTAAATGTGCCCTGCTCTCTCAGGCACAGAAGTGTGAACTTTCACAGAGAAAACATGGAGATTCTAGATTAAAAAAAAAAAACCAAAAAAGTAAGGGTTTGGTAGAAATCAAACTATTTCAGTTCTGCCTATCTGAGGGGCAGATCCACATGCTGGTCAGGTTTGGAGATCCATGGCAAGGGAAGGGGGGCTAAGGAGGTTTGCAGAGTGTCTGCAGCTGCACAGGCAAATGTGCACCCAGAATCATTTGTTTGAGCCTTGTGTCAAGGAGATATAAGGCAGAAATGTTCCACTGTAAATGAATTAAAGTGCATTAAGCTGCATCTGATATAAATTGTCAGTATCTCAGCTGCCATGAAGCAGAACTGCCATGTGGTCACCTCCTCTCATTACAAATGTGCACATTACAGACTTTTCCACGTCCACCTCTGGTGATTTTGCAGGGCAAGGAGCTGCCAGCACGGCAGCCCTTTCCCCACACATGGGTGCAACTCCTTCATCAGAGGGAGGTGTTTCACAACCAGCTCAAGGACATCTGTGTTGTGGCTTTGGGTCTTGTAGACCAAAGTGTAGGACCCACTCATAAAGACAGAGTAGAAAGGGAGCACTGGGAATTGTGCAGTGCTGGCTCCCATGGTGGGATATTGGAGATGCTGTTACCTGGAGAAGGTTGTGCAATCTGGTCCCAATATACCGAGGTTTTCATTATACCCCTGGGCCTAATTTTATCTCAAAATCCGCCGTCCCATAGGATATGGGCTCTGTGACAGCCCTCTGGGGACTTGAGAGAAGAGATGCTGTGGAGGCAGAGCAGTCACAGCATGTTTGTTTTATTAGCTTCTCTGGTGAGTTTGGGAAAGTCAGGCAGTCTCTGTGTGCTCTATAATATGAAAAATGGGGATATCTATGCTCTGCAGCAAACGCGACAGGACCAAGCAGGACATGGACAGTGGCAATCCTGGGCTTTGTCCACAGCTCTAGTCTCGCTGGCACTGTGGTTGTTTGCCATGGAACATCTCTGTAGTCCTGAACCTGGTGAAAACTCAGGTGTTCTCAGACTCCACACAACCTCTCTGCCCTCCTCACAGCAGTGTCCTGCCTCAGCAATGACCTTCTGGCTGGTACATCACTCCTGTGTCTTTGCTTTCCCCAGCCAAGGAACACCATCTGCTAGGGAAGGTCTTGGGGGTTACTGCTTGAACTTTATTTTATATATAAACTGTGGTTATATATTTGCCTCAGAGAGAGGCAGGAACAGGCTCCTCCTCATGCCTGTGTGGGCCTGAGAAGCTCTCCTTG